CTGAATTTCCATATACGGCGCCCTCTGGAGACCTGGTGAACATTTCGGCATTAGCCGGTGCAAATTGATACTGATGACACAGGAAATGTTTTATTAAACATAAACATCGAAGAAAAAAGATCGATAGTTACAGCTATTTAGTATATCCTAGATGACGAACGATTACATATCCAAACACAGTAGTCGGTGTGAACGACATTGCCTTCATCCACATACGTAGTTTTGACGTCACAAAGCGTTGTCACTAGAGGGCGCAATTTATTTAGCAAAGTCTTTCATTTGAAGGCGGGTGCTATGGTCACTAAATCACATGCATTTATATACGTATACACAATTGAATCGTACAGTATAATCATTAGTAATTACTTGATATTTGTACAAGCTCTTTTTTTAAAATTATCTCCCATCTTTAAGAAAATTTTCTTTGGTGTAATTCGTCTTTATCTCAATAAATATGTTGTTTACGATGAAAGTAACTGTGTACTATCACCAATAATTGTTTCCCAGCAAACTATTGAAATCAGGAGACCCTCGGATAATAACCAGTAGGGAGGGGAGGGGAGAGAAGGGGAGGGGAGGGGAGGGGAGGGGAGAGGAGGGGAGGGGATGAGGATAGTCACTCTCATGTACTCATCAATGTTCTTGAATATAAGGAAATGGCGTTGCTAAGCAATCTTATTAATGAACCGGATAGAACAAAGTCTAGTGAAATATCTATATAGTATTTTATCATCGCAAACACGCACACATGTATTATATTATTATTTGATTTCGAGGCGTTACATCTCTATTCGAAAAATTAATACCTGGTGTCCACAGTATCTTTTACATTCAAATAATCGATTTAATATTTCATTTCCATATCCACACTCAGCATAATAATTATTGAATTATTGTAATTTACTCACCGAAATATTACTTTTAATGGGGCTATGTATCTTCTATGTTTAAACGCATTCTCAGAGATTTATTTATTTATATATCAATCAATCAATCAATCAATCAATAATTATCCCTAAATGATGTGTATACTATATTATGTAATATATGTATCATTCTAAGTCTAATTATCATTATGAAAAGTATATAATATACTAGTATATGTTTATATAAGTTATCTAATGATATGCAAACAAATATTTGCTAATTATTTTTACCATATCGTACTGTATGCAAATCCATAGTAAGAAGGCGTGCTGTTACTATTGGTTCTCTGGAGCTTGAAGCATTTCGAGCCATAACGTGTCGTGTTCTCTTGTGGAGCATTTTCACTGAAAAATATAATATGCCCCGGGAGAGGGCGCAATGATAATGATTCTTAATTTATAATAAACATTCTTGTACTACAAACAGATTGATATAAATTTATATTGTAGTGACAACTCACGTATAACATGGCCTACTATCTGTGTAACATTTATGACGTATTCGAGTCTTTGCCTTCTGTCTCCAATCACCATCTCTGTATTGAGAGGATTATCACTCAACTACCATCATTCGAGAAAAGTCTAATACAGCTTAAATAATTAAACGTAATTATAATAACAAATGGTCAGGCCACCAGTTACACAATATGTGTTTTTTGGTCCACATACATAAGAATTTCACCATCCTATTCAATGCTACGATTCCGAACGTGTATCACGCTTATTATAGTATCGTCTCCAAATGTGTTACTTCATCATTCTTACTGGACCCAGTCATATTGAGTTAGTAATATACTTTTATCGTCATGCTCAATTGACAGTTATTAACATTAAAAATGCAAAAACCACAAGAATTATAAATAATAAACAGATCACTCTGACATGTCAGAAGCGTTTCATCGAGGGAAGTTAACAAAGTTGTCACGATCTGTCTCAAATAATCGACTAATGATATACAATAAAACTCAAGCATAACATTGAATGACGCCTGCAAGTGTCAAGACTCCATATATGTTATTTCCAATTTTCCACAACTGACATATTTTTTTCGATTAAGTACAGGGGTTAAAACTGAGAAAATGAACGGAGGAAGAATAGTGAGACTTCGTTTGACGGATACAGACTCTATATAGGGAGTTTTAACTGCATTACGAAAGCTGAATGCCACTTCAACCACTCCGTTCTGCAACGCAAACAATATATCTGACCACGTGGTCTGTTTATTTTTGTTATCTCTATTTGTTCTTTATTTTTCATATACTGTAAAGTCCGTAATTTATATTCGTCACAAGTACTCGTCCTATGGCTAACTTACCCATGGAGGTTTTCAGAACATTTTGTATATATCGCCCTCTCGTGGTCAAGAGTACCACAAGCTGTAAACAGTACTATATCCATTTGCTTAAATAATTATTAACATTCTGCCTCATGCATCCTGTATATGATTTGCAAATGTAGGAAACTTTAATGGAAGTACATTTATTCGAGGGTTTTCATGAGCATTACAGGTTATTTTAAGGTATACTAGTATGTACACTGGTTATTACAGTGTATTTATTTATTTGATTCAAGAATTAAATTAAGTTCTAGAAAAGGACAACGCGTTTACAGCTAAAAATATATACTAATGTGAGAAAGCACTTTTTACTTGATATATCTTCCAGCGTTATATGATCGCCCTTGGATTAATAGTTTCGACCACGAAAGTGCACTAATTCGAAATTAGTTATTTATCAAAAGTTTCCACGTTGATGGCGTGCGTGTGACAGAGTATTTGCTGAACGATTCATTTCAAGTGAATCTATATTGTAAAAGTGATACTGAGCACAAACAAATAAAATTCTTAAACAAATCTTGTTTTACTGAAGTGCTTATGTATACAAACAATTTGGTAGCATATCACGTATTGGTGAGCTGTTGAAATTTTAAGTTGTTCGCCCTGTGATTGAAAAAACAATGTTAATATACAACAAACATTTATATATATATTATGATAGTATACAAACACAGATGCTCGAAGAGACACCAGTGACGTATAGAACTTTCACTTGGCCCTAAATCTACAATAATAACATGTCGATACGACATTGGTGTAGTTGCTATTGCATTTACATTCGTCTCAAACCTTTAAGCAAGCGCGCCACCAACGTGTGGATTTAGGAGAATCATTAATTTTTTGAAAATTAAACTTTTTGGATATATGATATTTTTACGTTTGCCGAGCTAGAAAGATGTCAAAAATATTGCTAAATTATTAATGAACTAGGAGAAGTAAAACATTGATTGCTTGCAACCGAACTTAGCAAGGTTTAACTACATGTATGTTATTCATTTGATTCCATGGTTTATTATTTTGTATTATATTCCTTAAATCGGGATTTTCCATGTTGCATCGAATCAATAATTATATGTTTATTAGTTACTTCAAAGCAGTTAAACAGAAGCCAGTGTGCAATTTCCCCCCACGCACAGACTGGGGCACCCTAATTAGAGCATTGGTGAGCCTCTAAATGCGTATAAACATTTGCAAAAAATGAACTACTAGTATTTCAAGTATATTAACATCAAAAGCAAAACCAATTTGTGAGCGGACTTCCCGGAATTCTGGACCTCATGAATGACGCGATACAGATTAACTTCTGAGAATCGCTGGAGGGTTTGCCGTGGAGATTTACAAAGGAACTAAGACATCATGATGCCAGTGGGGGTTCAAAAATAAACGCATACACATAAATTACGTAATACGGGATTCGAATTAAAGATCAAAGTACATTTAGTTTTAATTATTTAATTAAACGAATACTGCTATGTAAACCACAATGTAGGTACACATTGTACCTCATTGATACACTATTGCAAACAAAAATGTATTCATATACATGTACGTTTGGTTCACATGATGTATTTAGGATAAACAACTTGTATATTTAAAGTAAACACTATAAACATATATTACAGGAATTTTATAAATACATTGTCTTCTAACTGTATTCAGTAGTGAAAATTTCGCAATTTCGCAATTTTTTGGAACCTTTGATGCACATCCCTGGAAATTACGTGAGCGTGCCAACGGCTGCATCCATTGG